ATTTGGGTAATTTGGAGAATGAAGGGTATTTTGATAACTTGGAAAGTATTTTGGGAGTTTAGTTTGAGGGGTTATTTTGGTGATTTGGAATGGGGGTAATTTTGGTAATTTGGCCAAGGGTATTTTGGGAATTTGGTCAAGGGAGTAATTTGGGAATTGGTCCAAGGGGTAATTTGAGTAATCTAGTCAAGGGTATTTTGGTAATTTGGAAAGAGGGTAATTTGGGAATTAGGTCAGGGGTATTTTGGGGATCCAGTCAAGGGTATTTTGGTAATTTGGAAAATGGTATTTTGGGAATTTGGTCAAGGGGGATATTTTGGGAATTTTGTTTTGAGGGGCATTCTGGTAATAGGGATATTTTGGGAATTTTGTTCAAAGGTTATTCTAGTAATGAGGATATTTTAGGAATTTTGTTTAAAGGGTATTCTCGGAGATATTTTGGGAATTTTGTTCAACGGGTATTATAGTAATTTGGAATGGGGATATTTTTGGGATTTTGGTTTGAGGGGTCTTTTGGTAATTTGATTAAGGGGTATCAGATGAGATCAACAATGGGTTTTGAGGATTTGGAGGTTGAGGCTTGGGTTTTTTGGATTCTATGGGTTTCGGGTTGAAATGGTTTGATCAGTATTCAAGGGTGAGTTGGGGGTTCAGACAAAGGACCGAGCAAAAATCAGGTATTGATACCTATAAATATACTATACTTAATACTAGTGCCCGTGTGATGCACATGCTTTTGTTAATAGAAATTGAAATAGAAGGGATACTATTACACTCTTTGGTCTCAACATTAGTATATGGGTATTGACTGCATAGGAGTAACCCATACACTATACCTGTGATTCAAATGTGGAACTATGAATCACTGTTTCCCCCATAATTATCCTCATTTTCCTTTTGGGTTCCTTTAATAAAGTAACAAACAAAAAACTGTTAACCCCGTATATTATAGTTTGAAAATGGGTCAAAAGATCTATTATTGTCATCTTTTTCACCAGAACTGAGAAAGACTACATAAGAATTGTATACTAAAACATGAGATACAAAACTAAAAATCTTTGAATCCAACACAGGCTGCACAACTATAAAATTTGATTCAAACACAAACAATGTATAAAAACTAAAACTGATATAGAAATTAATATAAAAACTAAATAAAACTTGCAAAACCAAAAACATACTATGAATTAGTAGCCATTTCCCTTCAAAGTTGCTATACCATGTGATCTACATAAAAAAAATGTTGAATAGAAAACATGAAGCTTGAGCCACTTACCTATGCCACACGACCTTATCTACACAACAAAGTCTCTATATAAAGAAGAATCACACTTTCTAAATAAAAATGTTCAAATAAAGACAATTTTGTAACTCAATTAGAACCATACCTATTGTACACTCACCAACTCTTTCCCTCCCTTATTTTCTATTCATAGCATGCCAAATTATAGCATATTATTTATGTTATTTATAGTATTATTTGTATTATATATATATATATATATTAAAATATATTTAAAATATTGCATGCATTTTAGTTTTGCTTTTATCTTAAATATAATTTTTGAAAACAAACTTTTAATTAAAAAAAAATAAGGATTCAGGTCCCCGTTGGGGAACCTGTCTCTGTTGGGGACTGGGGATGCAGGCTAAATTTTTTCCCGACATGGATCGAGGTCAGAGACATGGGTTAATTTAAAACTCGGGGTTAGGATGAGGAGTATGAGCCCCACCCCGAACCCACCCATTAAATATAATTCCAATAATTATGGTAATTATAAATTTAGTATCCAATATTTATGGAAATTATTAAAATTTTCCAATGATTTATTTAAATAATTGGAAGCTTTATAGTTAAACTTTCACTAAATTAAATTACCGGAATTACTAATTATTTCTAAAAAATTATAGTAAATATCAAAATTGCTAAAAATATAAAATATATATTCATTAAAATTAATTTTCCACTAAAAATTTTAATTATTATCTAATAATATAACTAAATATTAATAAATTGACCAAAATTACTGAAAATATTAATAACTACTTACTGCTAAAATGCTACTGATAATATCAAAGTTACCAAAAATGTAAAAAATAAATTTATATTTACTGAAATAAATTCTCCAATGAAAAAATACCAATACTTCTTTAATTATTAAATTTGTATTTTTAATATTTTAATTAGTTACAAATTTTTTAGCAATAATTAATTTTCAAAAAAATTAAAATTAAATTACCAAAATCAGTAATTTTTAGTAATTAAATTTTCCAATTTACCAAAATTACAAAAAAAATAGTTCAAGTGTTGATATTTGTTGAATAATATTCAATAACATTAGTAATTATTGAAAACATCAAAAAAAATATTTCAGAAATTAATTTAACTACCCAAATTAATTTAATTAATAAATTTAATCATGTTTTTTTTTTATTTTTAGATGGTTTATTGTGCATGTAATATAAATTAGGGAAAATTCCTGAACAGTACCATGAACTTTGGGGGTTGTGTCAAGTCAACCCTTGAACTTTAAAACGTGTCTCTACAGTACCCTAAACTTTCAAATTGTGTCTAATAGAATAGGTCCCTACTGTTAGCTGACTGTCAATCAACTCCATTACATGACATTAAGTGTGCATTAAATAATTCCAAAATGGTAAAATTACCTTTTATGGTATTTTTCTGACCATTTTACCCATTTCGTCTGAGTGTTAAAAGAAAGAAAGGGGATGAAGGGTTATGGAACTAGACACCGATCAACTGTTGAAGCTCCCACTCCCCTATTCAACGATCAACTATAACCGGATGATCATTTGGAACCAGATGAAGAATTATACTACTCAGATGAGTCAAGCTTTTCATAATAAAGGGTGATTTTGCCCTTTTGAAATTACTTAATGCACACTTGATGTCACGTGACGGTGTTGACTAACGGTCAACCACCGGTAGTCAACCACCGGTAGGGACATATTAGACATAATTTGAAAGTTCAAGGTATTGTAGAGGCACATTTTGAAGTTTGTGGGGACTGACTTGACACAACCCCTAAAGTATAGGGTACTGATCAAGAATTTTCCCTATAAATTAAGAGGTATTTTAAGGGGAATTTTAAGTGGGAAAGATAGTTTAGGAGAAATTTTAGGAGGGGGTTGGCTAAGTGATTGGGAACATGAGAGAGAGAGAGAGAGAGTTGGAATGGGACTCTAGTGAAGAAGAGAGGGCAGCTTGTGTGTGTGTGTGTGTGTTTGTGTGTGTGTGTGCACGCGCGTGTATGTGTGTGTATGTGCATAATGTTCAATATTATATTTTATAACATATGTATAAAATATATTTTGTAATATATAATATATCACCAAAATAAAATAAATCTCATTATGTATAAGTTTATGTGGCCCGGGCTAAGAATGACCATCCCTATTCTTTTTTTAAAGGGAAAATTTGTGATGCCAAAAAGACATGATACTGAAAAGGCTTTGACAAATCACAACCCTCTATGAATTTTGATGAAAACCCACCTCATTGGTTACCATCTTTATGATTTTGGTTGATTGGTTGTAAGTTTTTCCAATATCATGTCTTTTCGGCAACACAGTCCAACCCTTTTAAGTGCTTAACAACTAAATGTGCTACTCTATTGCAGTGTTATCTACCTATCTTAATGTTTTGGTGCAAGTTATAAAAGTTAGATTTGATAACATCATGTTAATGTTTTTTTTTTTTTTTTTTTTTTAACTCATGTTAGCTTATATCTTTACCTCATTATTTGCACGCATACATGGCACGTTTCCTTGCACTAGTAACCATAGTGTACAAAGTAGCTTTGTCTTGGACAGGAGTGGATGATTGAACCAGTTACATGACATATTGTGCAAAATAGTGTTATCAGGCTTGGACCGGAATGGATGGTTGAACCAATGTCCCATGACCCTTCTGGTCAACAGGCTCAGATCTACTATCCACAAGTTGTTTCCACATCTCTACCCATGGGACATATAGTTTAAGGGTGTTCAAATTTAGTTGATAAATCGAAAACTGAACCGAACCAAATTGAATAAACTAGTTCAGTTTGGTTAATTCGGGTATCGGTTCAGGTTGACTTTTTTTTTTTCTAAAATTCAGTTTTGGTTCTGGTTTGATTTGACTAAGATTTTCAACCGAACTGAACTGAAAACCGAATTAGTGTTGTTATTTAATTAAGTATATTAAATATTTAATGTTATACTTAATACTTCATGCTAATTAGTTATTATATTTCCCACTGACTAAATTGGTAGTTTTAGGCCCATTCTAACTTTAATTTTATAATAGTTAATTAAAACCTAGGCTAATTATTAATTGTTTCTTCATCATTAATTGTTTGTGAATAATGACAAATTCTATAATCCCCCATTGGCATAGGGCTTTGGGCCTATTCTAACTTTTAATTAATAATATTTAATTAAAACCTAGACTAATTACTAATTATTTGTAAATAATGGTCAATTCGTCAATTCCCCACTGCATAGGGCTTTGGGCCTATTTTAACTTTTAATTAATAATAATTAATTAATTAAAACTATTGTTCTTTGGCACCATTCTAACTTTTAATTAATAATAGTTAATTAAAACCATTGGGTTTTAGGCAATTTTAACTTTTAATTAATAACACTTATTAATTAAAACCATTATTTATCATTTATGTGGAATTAGGGCCTAATTGAACCGAAATCGGTTTGGGTTGGTCCAGTCTTGAATTCTAGTTCGGTTCGGTTGGAGAAAATGGTCAAACTGAATAAATGATTAGGTCTTCAGTTCTAACCAAATCGAACCGACGGATTATACACCCAGTGTTATTTGGATTGGACCGGATGGTTGAACCAGATGCGGTCATATTGTACAAATAGTGTTATCGGACTGGACCGAAATGGAGGTTGAACCAGTGTCTTATGACCCTTCCGGTCCCAGTTATTTAACGGGCTCGGATCCGGAGGGTTACTGGGTAATACCGCGACCAGTATGACACATTTTCTATTACTAGGTCTCCCATGTCAGACTTTGAGTTGTCTCACCCCGTCTCCTTCCTTTTAAAACTTGTTATTGTGTCAAATTGTCAATAATAGCAATTCTCTGCCATTCAAATTCTTGTTTGAGTGGTTTATTATTTCAGGTAGTTTGTGTGCCATGAGAATTATACAAGCTCTCAAATCAATTGGTGAGAGTGGAAGCCTTGTTTTCTATCAAAATCAGAAAATAACCCAGTTGGGGAAATCCGGCAAAATCAACGAGGCAATTAAAATCTTCGAGAGTATGACATCTCGAAACACTGTAACATGGAATTCTATGATCTCTGCTTATGCCAAGAATGGTAGAATTAATGATGCACGTAACCTTTTTGAGCAAATGCCTCTTAGGAACTTGGTTTCGTGGAACACCATGATCTCTGGCTACTTGCATAATGATAAGGTCCATGAAGCTGCTGAATTGTTTGAAAGAATGTCTAGGAGGGACCTCTTTTCATGGACTCTGATGATAACTTGCTACACCAGAAACGGGGAACTTGAAAAGGCTAGGATTCTCTTTGATCAACTTCCAGATAAGAGAAGCCCGGTTTGTTGGAATGCAATGATTGCAGGTTATGCAAAGAACGGCCGTTTTGAAGATGCTCGAAGATTATTTGATAAGATGCCAGTTAGGAATTTGGTATCATGGAATTCCATGCTTGCTGCTTACATACAAAATGAAGAGATGGGTCTGGCATTGGACTTTTTTGACAAAATGTCAGAGAGAGACGTGGTTTCTTGGAATTTGGTAATTGATGGGTTTATGCAGATAGGTGATTTGGATTCTGCAATGCAATTCTTTCAGAGAATTCCAAGCCCGAATGTCATTTCATGGGTAACGATGTTAAGTGGGTTTGCAAGGTATAGCCGTATTGATGAGGCACGAAGAATCTTTGATCAGATGCCCATGAGAAATGTGGTATCTTGGAATGCCATGATTTCAGGGTATGTGCTGAACTATCAGATTGATGAGGCTATAATTTTATTTGAACAAATGACAGAAAAAAATGCAGTATCTTGGACTACGATGATCAATGGGTACGTCCGTATTGGGAAGCTTGAGAAAGCAAGGGAGTTGCTCAATTTAATGCCTTACAAGAATGTTGCAGCCCAAACTGCGATGATCTCTGGTTACATACAGACCATGCAGATGGAAGAAGCTCGTCAAATCTTTGATGAGATGGACACTAGAGATATTGCCTGTTGGAATACCATGATTGCTGGCTATGCTCAATGTGGCAGAATGGATGAAGCTAACAAATTATTTAAGCAAATGTTTAGGAAGAATATTATTACATGGAATACAGTGATAGCTGGTTATGCTCAGGGAGGAGAAATGAATAAAGCACTTAGAATCTTTGAGAAGATGGAGGAGAAGAATATAGTTTCTTGGAATTCTCTGATTTCGGGTTTCACCCAAAATGGGCTGTATATGGATGGGCTTAGGCATTTCGTATTGATGGGAAGAGAAGGTAAGAAACCTGATCAGTCTACCTTTGCCAGTAGTCTTAGTGCTTGCGCTAACCTTGCAGCTCTACAAATTGGGAAGCAAATTCACCATCTTGTTGTGAAGATAGGTTATGTTAATGATTTGTTTGTTGGGAATGCATTGATCACAATGTATGCAAAGTGTGGAAGGATCCTCAGTGCAGAACAAGTGTTCAATGATATTGATAACACTGATATTATTTCTTGGAATTCTTTGATTTCTGGGTATGCATTTAATGGGTATGGGAAAGATGCAATTCAACTCTTCCAGGAGATGTTGACTGAGGGGTTGAATCCAGATCAGGTGACCTTTGTTGGGCTTTTATCTGCATGCAGTCATGCTGGCTTGATTGATGAAGGTTTAAAACTGTTTAAATATATGACTGAAAAGTATTGTATTGAACCTTTGGCTGAACACTATGCTTGTATAGTTGACTTGCTTGGACGGGCAGGAAGATTAGAAGAAGCCTATCAACTGGTTATGGAAATGCCAATCAAGGCCAATGCAGGAACATGGGGTGCATTACTTGGGGCATGCCGGTTACACAAGAACCTAAAACTTGGGAAGCTTGCTGCTGAGAAGCTTTTGGAATTTGAGCCTTATAAAACTTCCAATTATGTGCTCTTGTCAAATATACATGCAGAAGCAGGTAGTTGGAATGAAGTTGAGAAGGTGAGAATGTTGATGAAAGAAAAGGGAGTGGAAAAGCAACCTGGGAGCAGCTGGATTGAGATTAAGAATCAAGTCAGTGTGTTTGTCTCTGATGATTCAGTTCTACCTAGGACAGTGGAAATATGTGAGATGTTGAAGGCTTTGATGGCACAGATGAGGAATGTAGAATACATGCCCGAATTAGCATTAGCCTACTGGAATTTGGATGACTTATGGTAATTAAACATTGCCTGTATAAATTGCTACGTTGTTTAGTATATCTAGGGTGTATTATATTTCATTCTATGTTTTCAAGTAGCATCTATTATCATCCTCATTTGTCCCAATTATATGGGGTCAACTACAACAACTCTGTTCTGCCACTCCATTCTGTTTAGTGCCATATCCATTTTGAAAATTTTGACCATTCAATTGTTTCTCACTACTTCAAGGCATGGCCTTTTTGGGTTTCCCTAGCTCTTCTAGCCCCCAGTTCTTCTTACTAGAGTTGTAGATGATCTTCTCTGCATGTGGTTGAACCATTTTAGTCTACTTTTTCTCATTTTATCACCTACTAGACCTACTGCTAGTAAGATCCTTATCCTAAAATAAATCTGACCCAGATCTTTGCAAATCCCTTTAGGATCCTGCCTGCAATCTGACCAAATATATGTCAATAGACCAGATCCAAACCCACTCCCAATTCCATTGTTTGTGCTAGATGTGGATCTCAATTTAGCTGGATCTGCTGTGGATCCAACCTGTTTGATGTCAAAGCAAACATTATTTATTATTGTATGGCAGTGAAGGCATTGCGTGAAATAGTGAGCAACTTGAGAAAGAAAGACTGGGATTTCAACGTTGATCCATGCAGCGGAAAATCAGGACGGCAGACACAGAACATGCAAAAGGGCTCTGAGAATTCCATCACCTGCAACTGCTCCATCGCTGGAAATACCGTCTGCCATGTAATCAGCATGTATGAGTATGACTTTCTCTGCTTATTCTACAGCTTTTTAGCTACTCATTAGTGATTAGTGAAGCCCACTACTGAAGAGAAAGCAGGAAGATCAGTAACCTCTGCCCAAGTAAACTCATTGGGTTGTTCCAAATACATAAAAATATAATCTAAAGAATTTCATATCCAATGGATAGTGATTTAGATGTGAAGCCCAATTCTCTACAGAGGGCAGCGAGCAGGTTGTTTACTTGTTTAGAGAAAAAGCCTAATCGACCCCATTTGCAAATCTTTTTTCTTTTGATAATGTACACTGGTTTAAACACATCGGAAATTTCTAACTTTCTCAAATCATTTTATTATTTTTGTGGTTCAATTTCTTAGAGGAATTTCTGAAGGCTAAAAGTTTATCCTTATGTTTGAGTTCAGAGTACTGAAACCCCAAAACCTACCGGCAGTGCTCCCACCAGAGTTGGTCAAGCTTCCATACCTCCAAGAAATGTAAGAGCTTTCCATAGTCACATCCCTTGCAACCAACTTTCAGTCATTAACTAAATTAATTAACTTACCCTTTTTTGGTTTTGTAGAGATCTCCTCCATAACTGCCTTAAGGGTACAATACCTCCAGAATGAGGTACCATAAATTGGTGAATATGCAAGCAATTCAGTCTTCTCATTCTCATTGCTTATTTAGTTTGCAAATCAGAGAATTTATCATCTAAATAGTTAATCAAGAAGACTTTATAAGCTCACTCCTTGGAAATCAATTGTTGGGTCCAATCCCGAAAGAACTTGGAAACATCACACCCTGAAAAGCCTGCAAGCTCTGATTATCCAGATTTTCACACAAAAATATAGATTTTTGGTTTTAATTAGTTCGGATTTTCAGGACCATGGAGTTCAATCAGCTTTCTAGAGTTCTGCCTTCAGAGCTTGGGTGTCTTGTCAATAGGAAGAGCGTATGGTCATTCTTCCTTTCAACATTTTTTATTGGTTTTTTGTGTTCTGGGTTTCCCTTGAATTTACATATACTTGAAGAAATTAAATGATGAATGATTTTGTTTGTCTTGTAGCTACAGTAGTTCGAACCAGGAGAAGAGCAGAAGAAGAAGAAGAAGAAGAAGAGAACAGTCAAACCTGATAGACTAAACCCTATTAGTCGACCCTTAATATGGATTAGCCTCTAATTAGTAGTACAAAGACTAAACTACCCCCACTTAAGTATGGGACAGGAAGTCTCTATTAAAACTGC